CAAAAACTGCCCCCGCCCCTCCCGCCCCCCCCCCCCCCCCCCCCAGCAAAGTCTTTGCCCCGACAGGCTTGCAGCTGGAGACGCAGGGGGCAGCGGGGCGAGGAGGGCAGGGTGTGCGGAGGAGCTGGGCACGCAGTCAGCCCGTCCTCTGATGTGGAGAACATTTTGTAGGCAGCCGATTCCTACAAATATTGAAATTCACCGCAGAAAAAAAAATCACGAAACAGATGCCGATCTACTCTATCTGCATGGGGGAAAACACACATCTGGAGTGCCTAATTCCCAGTTCCCCCAGCTGTTACCCTCCAGCACATGCTTTTCTGGACCTCAAGGATGATTAGGGTCCAGCTCCAGAACCAGCTCTTATGGGGACTTAACTGGGAGGGAGTGGACCCAGATCCCCTCTTAGAATGGGAAGCGTAATTTAACTAAGTGGGTTTATAACTCAAAAAGTGTATGTCAAGGATTTGGCATCGTACACCGATTTAGAATAAGTAAAAAAAATAGATATAATACTGTACAGATGAAAAGAATTCATATCAGAAAGCAGCATATAATATAATAACTCTATCTGGACTCACAGTGCTACTAAGTATATATGAAATCCTATAGCTTAAATAAAATTTGTTTTCCTGGCTTGGAAACTGACCCCAGCAATCCCACATGTCCTTCCTGTTTCTGAGAGGTGTAGCAGCAGCACCTGGGGGGGCTGGTGAGGGGAAACCGGCTGAGAGCAGAAGGGAGACCTCTGCTTTCCCCTGGAGAAAGGAGGGAGCTGGTACCACTCAGCCCTTCAAGGAAAAGGCCACTGGCATGTGAGTGTTTGCAGGAGACTATGGATACTTTTCAAGAACTTTATGCTCATAATATATGTTAGTTTAAATCACAGAAATTCCTCAACAACTTCTGAAGTCCAGGATTTATCAGAAAAAGATGCTGAAGTTAACAGCAAACCCCATAACCTTTAAATGTGAAAGTGTCAAAGATTCAAATACACAGATCCAATCTTTTTTTTTAAAGATGTGAAAAATAACATCACATTACAAGGTTCACGTGTACATACACTACCTCCCCTCCATTTCTCTGTTTTGTAACTTTTATGGTTTTCTTAAATGTATCTTCTTTCTTTCTTTCTTTCTTTCTTTCTTTCTTTCTTTCTTTCTTTCTTTCTTTCTTTCTTTCTTTCTTTCTTTCTTTCCTCCCTCCCTCCCTCCCTCCCTCCCTTCCTTCCTTCCTTGTCTTTCCTTCTGTGTTTCCTTCTGTCTTTTTTAACCTAATATTTAGGCAGCTGTAACAGGCTGTGTACAGAAAACCCTCCTCAGGCTCCAGGTGCATTACCTGTCTCACTTTACATGCAAAAGGCTTCACTTTTGGGAAGAAGTGAAGCCTTGGTTGCTGTCTCCCCCCTGAAGATCTCTGGATCTTTAAACTCCAGTCAGGCTCTGTTCCCAAGCAGGGACTGAGAGGCACCGGGGGCTTTGGCCAGGTGAATGTGCAGCGTCACGTTTAGGATGAACGTGGAAGGGAGATTTCTGCAGTCCCCTGGCATTTACCTCTGTGCTCAAATGTGCTGATCTATCATTCTCCTAATA